AAGGCGGAGGAAGAACCTCAGCGAGAAGAGGAATGAAGAGGAGAAGGTTTATTTAACCCTAGCATCTGTCGATATGTACACTACTGACCTTCCACCCTAGCTCGACACCATCAACCGTCTCCTCAAGAAACAACCCCCGAAGCGCGGCCGTAAATCCATGATCGAGCTCAACGAAGACGGCGAGGAGATCGAACAGGAGCCTGAGCGAGCGAACCCACTCTACGTACGATACATCCAGAACGCCAAGGGGACACAACTTGCTGTGCCAGACGAGTGGCTCCAGGCCCCTGTTGGCAGAGTGTTCTCTGGGGAGACGCAGAAAGGGACCCAGAAGCCTTTCAGCGGACGTATGGTAGAAGAAGTTGCTTAGCCTTATCATTGGATACACTCTTCGATGACAAGGGGAGGAGTAGATGTACATTTAGCGGTGCATAATCACGGCGTTGATTGTCTTTTCTTCTACATCGAGCTTCGAAAGATCAAATATCCTATTTCTTATTTCCATCTACTTGACCTCCAATCTCATAGCGTCATACTGGACATATACCGCTTCAGGCAACAAAGCGCTCTCGTAGTTGGTTCCGTTGTACGGTAAGCTAAGAACGAGGCTGTTCTCCCCTTCCTTCAGCATGGACGAAGGGAAAAGGAATTTGTGCGCGAGGTTATAGCAAATGACTGCTGAGCGGACGGCGCAGGATGAGGATTGGTTGTACCTGGCATGCTTGTCAGTAAACTTTCATGATTAAAGAACGGAGAAAGAATGAGAAACTCACGGAATAATCCAAGGCTCAAGATCCACACCATTCACATTGACCGTATACGGCAGATTCGAATACGGCTCACTCGCATTGAACACGTCTGTATTCCCCGCCGCCGTCTTCGCACCCGCAAGCTGTACTGTAAACGTCGCCGTTGTTCTGTTCTTGAGTTCATTCGCCTTGGTATCAAACAGAATAGTCCAGTTATACGGATGATCAGGCACAGGTTCCGGGCGCTCGTAGTTCGCTTTCCCGCCATAGACAGCCCAGTGGACGTAGTTGAGTGCTTGAGACGCGTCGTCCGTACCGACTTTGTACGTCACGCCTTCGGGGAACTCGTCGATGAAATCGTAGGCACCCCAGTAGAGCCGGTACTCTTCTGTGAGGAGAGGGTGTGTCGGGGACTGAGCGTAGCCGTGGCGGTATTCGCCTGAGGATTTATCGGGGGTGCCGATGCGGAAGAGTTCTGTGCCGGCGGTTTCGGGAGTCCATGTCGCGCTTATGGAAGTGGCTTCTCCGGCGGAGACGAGAACGTCGTCTTGGATGTAGTCGCCAAAGATGCCGTCGGCGTAGATGGTCAGACGGTAGTTTCCGGCTTTTACACGGGGGATGGTGACTTCGCCGGCGGGGGAGATGTCTTCCCAGTATTGGTATGCTTTTGTGTCGAAGACGTTGTCTTGGAAGTCGTGGCCGCTCTCTGTGAGGATGGCGATGGGGTTCTTGGCTCCGGTGGGCAGGTTGATCTTTGCGTTCAAGGTACCACGACCGGAGGTGGGGACGAGGTTCGGTACGTGTTTTGCGATGGAATCGTAGAAGTCGGCGTTCCATTCCGGACGGAGACCATACTGTTCTGCATCTTCCCGGAGCTCTTCGAGCGAGCCGCCTGAGTTGAAGTGGAAGTACTGTGGCCCAAAGGTACGGTCGAAGCCATCGGTGATGTTGGGTGTCTGATCGCCATGGTGGTTGGAGACCATGTAGTTGTACACGATGCCGTCGACGACGAGGTCAGAATGCACGGGACCGTTGAAGTAAGTCTCGACAGTGTTGTGTACAAGCCAGGCGCCGTAGGTTGAGCCATTGGCGCTACCAGTACCGTCGGCGTACATACCATGGGCCTTGTGATCGCGCCATGTGTCTTGGAAGGTGTACTTGGTGAAGTAGTCTCCTACGCCGGTAACGTATGGATCTTCTTTGTTGGCTAGCCACCATGTAGCGTCTTGAACAGTGACTTGTCCTTCGGTATCCGGGCGGGGTGCAGCAAACTTCTCGTTGGTAACGAAGTGCGTGAAGAGCGCGGGTTCATGGTTTGGCCTGAACAGTGTGCGGAACTCTTGCAGGTTGCGCAAGAATGGAGTGGTCTTGTTGTTGTACACCACACGGCTGAAGGTATGCAGTCCTGTTTCCCCTTCTCTTAGAAACCAGTATTGCTCTAGCCTCTGACCGGTCGGAGTGTAGGTCTCGCCCATGCTGATACCCCCATACGAAGTATTAGTAGAATCCCTGCCGTTGAACAGCTGGTACTGAACATTGCTTCCTCGGCCTGGAGTCCAGAAGCCGCTAGGTGTGCAGTAACAGTCGAGATATGGACCGACTCCAGTGTTGCCATCTTCCGTCCCGAGGAGGTTCTGCCCGTCAAGAGTAAGGACATTGATATATCCTCTTGTCTTGCTCACCGACGCAGCTAGACGATCGTTGGCAATAGTAAGACTCTGGTTGTTCTGACTCGCGTTCAGGAAAGCCCATGCTTTCGAAGACAACAAGAGCGCCGCTGCGGTTGCTGTGGTAGAGCGCATGTTGTGAATGGAAGGCGCCAACGAGCACTACTTGCCCTCGGGAGTACTTCGCTCCCCATTCTTATACAGGTCGTATCCAGGTACACGGGAAAATTAATTGAAGCTAAGCTCGATGATCCTGGCCGTAATCCGGGGTAAAGGAGGAGAGACTGCTATGGGGAAGACGCTACTCGGCCCTTCGGCGTGAAAGCGACCGAGGACAGGGTCTGTTGGAGGACGGGACGGCCTATATGTTGCTGTCGAAGACGCGATGAGTAAACAGGCCGCACTGCATGGCCCGTTGGTGCAGGTTGAAATTCACATTAGCACTGAGGCAGAGGTCGTTGACGTCGCTGTGGTGCCGTGCTGGCAACTAGCTCTGCTTCCGACGAGCTATGACGGAACGCGCTTTCTTGCAGCCATCGCGTACCCGTCATCATACACGCGCGTGTTCTTGCAATTCGGTACTGTTCGATGATACAGAGCCCCAGACAATACACTACAACGCGTACCTAGGTCCGGAATCGTCCTCAATGGTGCTCACATGCCCATCTGTGTGGCGAACGGGAATTCGAGCACGTGCACCCATGTGCATCTGGTGCCTTGGACACCGGGCACCTATGTCGTCTTATCATTCGCTTTTTCCCTACCTTGATTACGCTGTGGCAGTCTCGCGAACAGAAAAACGCGTCCTTCGACTGTTGCCTGGCTTTGTTTCTCGCTGGCCGTCGCCCGCCGCATGCCGTGCCACAAACAGCGCAAGGATAGGCCGGAAAACTGTTGCGAGCTCGATGTCTCCGACACGAGCCCACATGCATATATGTTAGTATACTGAAGAGAACATCCGCCGTCGCGCACCGCTGAGAACGTCTTTACGCGCTGTTTCGAGAAAGAAAGGACCGATTCGACATGCGTTCACCATCGGCGCTGATGCGTTCTCTGAAAGAATACCTCATCGAAATTCTGATCGAAGCTCCTTGTCACCGTATAGCGGAGAGAAATGGACGCAAACGAAGAGAATTCCACCACCAACTCGGAGCTGCGGCCAGTGCTAAGTGGAACGGTCGCCTCCCTGGAGCAAGAGCGGAGACTGGCGATGCGTTCGACTTATTCTCAGGCGCAGACATTTCAAGGCAGCAACAATCGCCTTTCTTCACAAAGCTACCTCCAGAGCTTCGGAGGCTTATATACGCTTATGCCATTGGCGGGGAAGAACTCCAGCTTGAGCTCCAAGAAGATGGTGATACCGACGCCCCATTTAGCATGAGATGTGCTGAGGCACAAAGGGTCTTGGCTTTCACGAGATCATGCAAACTTGCGTGAGTAAATTGTACCTGCCGACAGGCCCAGTTTGTGGGTCTATATCCAGCGTCTGACCGAGCCGTCACAGATATATCGAAGCGTCACAGTGTGCCTACAGCGACAATACGTTTCGCATCCCCAACATCACAGCATTCTTCTGCCTTCAGCGCCTTCTTCCAGCGCGCTGGTTTCATGCCATCCGTCATATAAGATTGAGATGGGCATATATACAGACAGGCGAAATGTGGAAATTTCTCTACGGATATCCACCTTACAATGCTTCGTGTTGGTCGCTGATATGGTCGGAAATCTCAAAGATGAGAGCACTAGAGCATGTGAGGGTAGATATGGTGCCCGGGTCAACATACATCTATGCTGACTATGAACATGCTTTGTTTACTCCATTAGAAACCGCCCAGGGATCGAAAGAGTTTGAAGTTTACGCTAGTTGGCCCGAACACAAAGACCTTCATCGTCAAGGGAAGACATGGCCGTTCAAAATCACGCGGGGAGTGGAGTGGTATTTCCCAAACCAAGAACAGGCCCCAGCCTGAGTCAAAGGCGCATTCTCTTCTTCGTTAAGAGTCGAGTTGGTGATATGAGCGCAATGGTTTCGCTAGGCGAGATGTCATCCTCCCGAAGGACATCAAGTGGGCTTTGCTACGTTCACGATGAGCTAGATAGTTTCCGCTCATAATCAGCGAGGGGGCACCCTGCTTGAACCACGCCCCAATAGGACGATTACTGTGCCGCATCCACTTCGCCACATCCGGTGATTAGGCACCAACTTACCTTATCACTGATGTGCTATTTCTACTTCGGATTGAACCGTCGCTTTATTACCAACGACTTTTCGATGCTCAGAACAGCGAGCTTATGATATCGCTCTTTCTTCCCCTTATCCAATCCTTCTCTACTTTCCGTCGTTGGCCATGCGACCAATCAAAGACGCAGGCTGGTATGTGCTCAGCAAGTTTGTGCAAGTAGTGATCATACCTATAATGGACAGGGGCAGAGCCAAGAAATTTCAGGAGCGAAGACGACGAAATATAGAAGGACAGAATACGCGTCGGGCGAACTGGAACGCATCTTTACCACCTACACGCTCCGACACGATAGAAGTTTCGGCGTTGAGCGCAGCAACAGATGGGATCTCCACTCAGCCGCAATGCTTGTTCTTCATGAAATTACCTCCAGAACTACGGACGATGATTTACCTATACGCCCTCGGAAACGAAGAACTTGAAATAGAGCTTTTCCCAGAAGAGATCAAATTGTGGAGATATTATATTAATAATATCCACCCAGTACCGGTTTTCGACGTGAGATGCGCAAGGTTTCTGCAGCTCACAGCCTTTCCACGGTCGTGTAAATTGGCGTATGTTATTCCCTCCATCTGAGGCTTTGCTGGCCCACAGGAAATGACTGACTTCTCTGCGCTAGGTACTCCGAATCCATACAGCATCTTTACGCGTCCAACACTTTCTACTTTCCTACCTGTACAGCGTTCTTCTGCTTCCAACGTCTTGTACCTACCCACCACTTCCAGGCTATCCAATCATTGTACTTGAAGTGGGCGAGTGACAACCCCTGGAAGCTATACCTGATATGGGAGTTCTGTGATGGCGTACCACCCTACGACCTCTCAAGCTGGAATCGAACCTGGAAGATCATATCGAAGACGGAAGCTCTCAAGTACATGAGGGTCGACCTGGTGGCATGCGCTGATCGTCCCGAGCCATACTCCGAGTTTGAAGACGTCTTATTTGCCCCGCTGAAGAAGATCCAGGGCCTGCAGCAATTCGATGTCTTCCTTAGCTGGGAAGAAGGCAAAACTGTCCGTGAAGAGGGAGTGCAGCCTTTCACGATCAAAAAAACTATGGAACATGTTCGATGAGCCCGCTCGGGCGGCGTAGGGCTATATGTGGGCACCCCGAGCAACTCCCTGGGTAGCTTACCTGGGTACGTCAGATTATCGCGTTAAGCTCCCGTCAGTCGAAGTTGTAACCAACTCGCGCAAAAGTGATGCTAGAGATGCATGACCGCAAGAATTGAAAGTGTTATCCTCATCCAAAATGTCGCGTTCCAGCGTTTCGGTGCTAATCCAGGACGAATGACCGGTGACGTCACCATCTGGGGGGAACCGAATCCGCCTTGTGTACCTTCCTTCCGAAGCATCAACACCAAACATCGGAATCCGCGGGATCTTGTCAGCTTGCGCGGCCTTTTTCCGCAGTGATGAGCTCTTCTCAATCAGAGAGCCAGCCGCTGCTGCACAGCTCTCCAACCAAGGTCATAGCTTTCGAACCCCACGATCCAGACGACCCCCGGAACTGGTCGAAAGCGCGAAAATGGCTAATGGTCGCCGCCATCGTGCCCATAGACCTCAGTGTCTCCTGGGGTGCGAGTGGTTTTAGTCCTGTCGCGAGCGACTTTGCGAAAGACATGGGCGTGTCACCGAGCGTTGCGGTTCTTGGACTGAGCATGTATGTTCTGGGGTTGGCTTTTGGTCCTATGACTTTGGCGCCTCTTTCGGAATACTTTGGAAGGAGGCCTGTCTATATCGTGTCCTATGGCATCTTTCTCTTACTGCTTTTGGGGACGACATATGTAGAGAGCCTCGGACCGTTCCTTGTCCTGCGTCTGTTCTCGGGTTATTTCTCATGCACCACGATTTCGAACTTTGGGGGCACCATTGCGGATCTCTTTCATCACCATGAAACCGGGCCAGCAATGTCTTGGTTCCTTTGGGCAGCGACAGGTGGCAGCCCGACTGGCTTTGTGCTCTTCTCGTTCATCGCGCATGGCCGATCGTGGCATACTGTGTTCCGCATCATGTTCTTCATCTGCTTGGCCTTCTGGGTGGTCATGGTCGTCGCGCTCTATAGCCTTGGAGAAACAAGACATAGTGTGATCCTCTTGCGGAGAGCACGAGCCCTACGACAGCAAACAGGCGATGATGAGATTGAGGTGCCGGACGAAATGAAGCAACGAGGACCGAAGCAGCTGTTCACTACAGCACTCGCCCGCCCATTCAGATTCTTGGGCTCTGAAGCTATCGTGCAGTTTGGTGCACTCTACAACGGGTTTCTATACGGCTTGAGCTTCCTCTTTAACGGAGCCTTTCACATGATCTTTGGCCCGAACGGATACGGTTTTGATACTATCGGCGTCGGTATCTGCTTCCTCGGGATTGTCGTCGGCATCACATTTGGCCTAGCTACCAACGTCTTACAGGAAAGATACTACCAAAGGCGGGTTTCTCAGGCTGGCCATCGCGACGTCCCCGAGGCGCGAGTGCATCATGCGAAGCTGGCAGCTATTGTTCTACCAGTGTCTCTTCTGGCTTTTGCACTTACCGCAACGCCAAACATACAGCCCTTCTTCGCAGTTCTCGCCAGCGCATTCTGGGGATGGTCATTCTACACTCTCAGTAAGTTACACAGATGATCCACGTCAATTGTACTGCACTGACACTCTATCCAGTTCTAATGACCCTTACTTACACTGAAGACGCCTACAAAACGTACTCAGCATCAGCCCTTGCCGGGATTGGACTCATTCGAAATCTTGCTGGTGCTGGATTCCCACTCGTCGGAAGACACCTGTTCTTGAACGTAGGCACCAGGAACGCGAGTCTGGTACTGATGTCGATCGCTATTTGCCTAGCGCCAATACCATTCGTGCTTGAGAGAAGAGGCGTATCATTGCGCAAAAGAAGCCCATGGGCGGCCGCGCATGAAGATGAGGACGAGAACAGCTGAGCCTAATGCCACCGGTGACAGCTGTCTCGCCTGATAGGGCTCAGTCTGTCCTGTTTATGGGAAGGCATTGGTGGCGCGTCAGATACATGCTCCAAGCTCAAAGGGTTTGGCCGTCATACGCCTCGATTATGGACCGCATGTACACCATCTCATACGTTAATGATGGCCGCAGTGTGCCCCGCCAAGCACAATCGTCTTCATAACTCTATACCTGGGCAAGCACGTGGAATGGATTTCTGTACCCGACGAACTCCACATTATTTTCGAATCAGAGAGCCCTGGCCTACTTGCGTTCAATCTTGTCATCAGCCACTGATATGCATTCCTCATTACTCAGCCCTTCGGCCGTCTAGGCAGCGGCAAGTTAGCGACCCAAATGGTTCGATCTCGCGCACGTGACATCCACTACACAGCAAACCCAACACACCCATTGGACAAGACAGAGCATGACGGCTACCCAAAATCAGCATAACAACGTTTCAACCACAACAGAACGTGTTGTTTCGGATCTGCCCGTGGTTTTAGCGCGTAATCCCATTGAACGTTACGGGCCAACCAACGCGTCGCGCAGCCGAGAGGGTCGGCGCGTAACGCTAGATCTCGCGCTGCCGACTACCCACCCGCGTATCCACCTGAGATATTCTTAGACTGTACGAAGTCTACATATGAGGCTCTGCTCTTGCGATCATAGTGCAGTATTCTCCAGCTTCAACCATCTTTCTTTCCTTCAGTCGGTTTTCATTCGATTCTTTTCTTTTGAGTCTGTTCTGTGAACAACTCTGTGTTTCATTCGCGACATAACTTGCTTGTTTCCTTCAGTCAAGTCTCAGCATAGCGACGGAGTTGTTCTCCCATCTATCTTCTTTCGTCATTTCCCAATTTCTTGTTGCGAGAGAAATTTCAACCAGCGCGCAAGTCGTGTCTAGTACCAACAACGTCATCTCGAATTACGACTGCACCATCGACTCATCTACGAAACGTTTGTAAGACACCTCGACAGCCTCTTCAGGAATTCGGAATATCCACACCAACACGATAAACTCTCAGTAACAACACAAAAATGTCCTGCCAACCATTCACTTCGGTCCCTCAACCACCCACCAACCTGCCATCGTGCGCCGTACCTGTCGGTGGCTCGAACTCTTCAATACTAGATGCATGCTGCAACGGGCACATCAACGCGATCGCGACATACTCCGCTCCCGACTCAACCACATCATCACCATCCGCGTCCTCAACCCCAGTCATCGTCAACTCAGAAGACAACGACGGCTGCTTCCAATACTGCATCACCGATTCACCAGATATCGTCCAAAGCTGCTTGGCACAAAAGATGGAAGAATATGAAAAAGAAGGTGCAAGTGGCACGGGCATGTTCGGCTGCTTCAACACGGACAAGGCGGTGGGCGCGAGAAAGGTCGATGAGGAGCGAGGATATGCCAGTGCGGGTGTGAGGATCAGTGGAGGTGCGGGTTGGGTGGTATCAATGCTGCTGGGTTTGAGTGTCATCGGTGCAGTTGTGGCAGGCATTTGAGCGCCGACAAAGAGACCGGCGCATAGAAAGACCGTGGAAAGATGCAAAATGTTTGATCGAGTTTTATACCAGGGCTGTTCTCTAGCATCTCCTAGCGCTGACGCTGGACGTAATGAATAATGACATATTTCAATTCCTTGACTATAGTAGCGGTGTGGAACGACAACAGTGATGAGATCTACGATAAGATGGTCTGAACGACTTGGTTGCACGTCCGAACCGCAGATGTATTCGTGCAGTCCCAAAAGTAAAAAGCAAGAGTTCCCCAGCCTCAAATCGTCTTCGACACCTACAAAGGCGGTGAGTGAGCAAAGGAAGATATTCCCCACACTCACAAAGCGCCTCAACAACATTGTGTGCTAAGAAGTCCGGTGCAGATCCCGTCACCGCAGTCGTAACTGCACTAAGTAGTGGTCGCGGTAAATTATAAACACCTTTGGTGTTACTTCTTACAACTACCGTCTAAGCCTGTCAATCAGAGACCATGTCAACAACGCCGGAGCAACCACACATCGTCAAATACTGTGACCAAGAACTGATACATCCACAACCTCGGCATCCGGTGCCCATTATCGAAATAGAAAGAATAGCAGCCAACGCTGAAAAACAAGGTTCTCCAGACCTAGCCTTCGCATCGCAGCAACAACCACAGGCGCAGCAAGAGCAACGGCCACAGACGAAACCAGACCAAATTCCCCAACGAAAGCGAAAAGACAGCGCGGCACCCTCATTAAATTGCGGTTCCCCCGTCTCGGAACAATACGAGCAAGCTTCTAAAAGCGAGCTGCTTGTTGCCTCACACTCGCCTAAGCATGTGCCGGAGCATTTCTCCAACTCGGGCTTATTAGAAGCTGGGTTCAACCAGGAGACTTCTCGCCGAAATTCCAACTGGCGTCGCTTCTTTTGTAAGCCCCTGATCGTGAAAGGTTCTGATGAGAAGTATTGCTAAGTTTTCCACCAGATGGTTCTCTAGAGTTCTTGATTCCTTTTGGAAGTGAATGGGATAGTCCGTGTTTGGCGTCCCGGAGGACTTCTGTTTGAAGAGCGTCGAGAGCGCGTACGCTACTTATGAATGAATGAAATTTCTAAATATGAGATCTTTTCCCAGTTGACACTGCAAGCTTGATGTGTACCTGATGGTGACGGGTCTGTGGCTGAGGGGCAGCCGATGTGGAGACGAGGGAAAGTTCCCCGCGACGTTTTAGCGCTATCGCACCCCTGCCGCCGATGCGGAGCGTCATATCTTTTTCTCGAACGCGCAAACAGTCACAACCTAATTCCACACGTTATTCTCTCATACATCTCAAGATGGCATCCGAAAAGAAAGTAGCAGAGAATATGCTCTGGGGAGGTCGTTTCACAGGTCTGTGCAGCCATTGGAATGATTGAGTCCATCGACACTTGAGATGACTGGTGCTAAGACGCGTTGCAGAGGGCCTTGACCCAGTCATGGAGCAATACAATGCTTCTCTCCCCTACGACCGTCTCTTCTACGCCGAAGATATCGCCGGCTCTATCGCGTTCGCTCGCGCCAACAAGAACAATGGCATCCTCACCGCCGACGAGTTCGCAGCCATCGAGAAGGGCATGGCCCAGATCAAGGAGGAGTGGGCGACGAATTCCTTCGAGGTCAAGGCGAACGATGAAGACATCCACACCGCCAACGAGCGACGGCTAAGCGAGATCATCGGCAAGGACATTGGAGGCAAGCTCCACACAGGGCGAAGCAGGAACGAGCAAGTCGCGACCGATATGCGGTTATGGCTGAGGGAGCAGCTCAGAACACTAGAGGGCTACCTGAAGCTCCTGATCAAGACATCGGTACAGCGAGCCGAGGCTGAGATCGACGTGCTCATGCCGGGCTACACACATCTCCAGAAGGCACAGCCCGTCCGGTGGTCGCACTGGATCCTATCGCATGCCACCGCTTTCGCCTCCGAGCTCGAGCGCCTCCGCGAAGTCATCAAGCGTGTCAACCGTTCCCCCCTCGGCTGCGGCGCGTTGGCAGGCAACCCCTTCAACATCGACCGCGACGCCATGGCCAAGGAACTCGGGTTTGAGGGCCTGCTCACAAACTCCCTCAACGCTGTCGGAGACCGCGACTTCGTCTTCGAGACACTACAATGGGGGTCTAGCTTCATGCTCAAGATGTCGCGCTGGGCGGAAGATTTGATCATATACTCGAGTCTGGAGTTTGGCTTCGTGCGGTTGGCTGATGCCTACTCTACTGGTAGCTCTCTCATGCCCCAGAAGAAGAACGCGGACTCGCTGGAGCTCATCCGAGGAAAGAGCGGTCGTGCTTTCGGACACATGGCGGGCTTGTATGTCACCATTAAGGGTCTGCCTACGACCTACAACAAGGATTTGCAGGAGTCTGTTGAGCCTCTTATCGATCACATCAAGACGGTCAGCGACTCCATCCAGATCGCCACCGGCGTTTTGTCGACCTTGAAGATCAATGCCGACAAGATGCACGCTGCACTTGCCCCGGAGATGCTGGCCACAGAGTTCGCAGACTACCTCGTCCGAAAAGGCGTGCCTTTCCGTGAGGGTCACCACATCTCTGGTCGTGTTGTTGCGCTAGCAGAGGACCAGAACGTTCCCATGGATAAGCTGAGCTTGGAACAGCTGAAGGGTATCGACTCCAGGTTAGGCGACGACGTAGTTGAGTGCTTAGACTATGAGCGGGCGGTAGAACTGAAGAACGCCACTGGTGGCACAAGCAAGAGCGCCGTCATGGAGCAGATCGACATCTTGAAGACAATTCTCTAGAGTAGAGGTTTGCCAAGCGACGCCTAAAATGGGTTTAGACAAAATCCACGGTGGTCACAGGTTATGAGAAATGAGAAATGATTACTACACCACTTAGATGTCGAGTGGTGATGAAGGCTGTTGCATGCGTGCGCTGGTTGCATGTGCTTACCCCACTTCATCTGGCCAGCGGATCCGCGTTCACATCGCGACGGAGCCATATGCTATGACATAGTCTAGATTTACTGCAACTGACTCGCATCTCATTTCTAGGACAATCATTAGGGTCGAACATCTGTCTAATTAAAGTTATCATGCAACCAGATCCACAAAACACCGATGTCGTCGCCAACATAAACTACTTCCCTGCCACCGGCATCCCCATCCCCAAATCAGAATGGAAAGTCAAATACCTCGACGACAAAGATGAATACACTCGCCCCATGCTCATCCGCGACGTACGAAAAGCGGATAAGACATTCGACCTAGACGCCAACGGCTTCACATTCGTCACACTGCCTCAGAAGCAAAGAGTCGACCGGCACAGCAGCGAAGAAGATGTAAAACGAGAATACTACCCCGAGTTGGAAGAAGTGGTTAAGAACCTGTAACAGCCCCTCCAATATCCTACTCTACATTCACGACGCTCGTCACGCGAAGCAAAACATCTAACAACGTTGCCAGAACCGGTGCCACAACAGTCCACATCTTCAACCACGTAATCCGCGCACACACCTCCCCCTCCGCAAAGGGCATCCAAGACGCCCTCGGCCGGTGGCAAGACATCCCCTCCGGCCACCCCCACGTCGACTACGCGGGCTCCGCATCCGCTCTCAGCGGTACACTGACTGAACTCTCGTTGCCCGCTCACATCAACAACCTCTTCACAACATCCACGCGCTACGCCTTCCTCAACTGCTGGCGGCCCCTCAAACGCGTGCGTCGAGACCCGCTGGCCGTGTGCGATGCGAGCACGGTGCCGGAGAGTGATTATCAGGTTAGGTTGAGGGAGTTTAGTAGAACGGGGAATAGGAGTGAGAATTATGTTTTGAGTTGTGGGGCGGGGGAGAAGGGGGAAGAGGAGGAGGATGAGGGGGTAGGAATGGAGATGGAGATGGGGAAAGGACATGAGTGGTGGTATATGAGTGGGATGCAGCCGTGGGAGATGGTGGTATTCAAGGGGTTGGATTCGAAGAGAGAGGAGAGGGGGTGGAGGTGTCCGCATACGGCGTTTAGGGTTGAGGGGAGTGAGGGGGAGGAGGCGAGGGAGAGTATTGAGGCGAGGGTCGTGGCGTTTTGGGAGTAAGATTTTGGGGTGGATGGCGACATATCGGGATGGGGTAGTGGGCATGTCATCTTTTTGGTACCTTGAATTTCAAGGCTTTCTCTTAGAGATATTTCCAGTTAATTTGTTTCGCAACGAGCTATCTACAGTGCTCGTTTGGTTTTCCAGAGTAGATGTTCTTATCTGTATGCTACTCATCACTCTCCTCCTCTCCTCACTTTCCCTGGGAGGCGTCCGATAAGTAGAAGTGCCTCGACGTCGACACGGATCACTAATAGTTGGTCCACAGTCCCGGCCGCGCCGGCCTTGATCGAAGTGATCCTAGGCGTATGCTGGAGGTAGATAGCGGCCTTGCTGGCCTCTCAGGCCGTTCACGTATGCTGGGTAGATCGTGAAGAGAGCTTGGTCTGCGTAGGTTCTCGCTGTTTCGTCGCGGTACATCAAGAAATCGGCTACTAGTCCTAGGTTCCGCCTGGTTACTCCCTCTGAAATCCGACTGACCACTCGCCATCGCAGCCTGCTGTTCGTCGTGGAGGTGTTTTGTAAAGACGAAGTCTCTCCATTTGAGCTCTTTCTTCAAAGCGATAAACTTTGGCTCGGCGTAGACCTCTCGATTGATTTTGGCCATGCCGTATTTGCAATGCTTCTGGTTGTAATCCTTGATAGCTCTACCGAGCACGAGTCGAAGCGCCTCGCACGATCTTGTCCCAAGCTGTGCAACGACCATATCGTCTGAGACGAGTCGACGTGCAAGCAACTTTTGACCCTTGTCCATACCCAGTTTCCCCGGCAGGAGACCGCGTCCTCGCGTCCAGAAGGATGGCTTAGTGTAGAGCAACGTCTTGTGATGGTTTCCACCTTCGCATCTGTGCAACCGGAAAGCGTCTAGCTGTTCGAAGACATAAGCGATTTCAACTCCAATCGTTCGTGCTGGTTCCATAATGAAGGTGTTGATGAATTCGCGGTCGCTATCCTTTAGCAGGCTCTGGGTGTTGTCGACCACAGTCTCACAGGCTTTGTGGATAATATCAGCGTATTCGAGGACTACGCGCGTTCCTTGATAAGTTAAAAGGCTTGTATTCCGCGCGGAGATGTTCGTGGTGGACAGTTTGGGCGAACATGCAGCGAGCGCATAATGGAGCTCGTGAAAGTCGACGTCGTAGCTGTATACCAGGATGTCGACGAGAAGGCGGACAAGGAGATCGACTGCGGCAGGCTTATCCTGAGGAAGTTCCAAGTTTGTATCATGGCCTAGGATTTGCTCTGGACCGAAGGGATAAGACTCCAAGGGGTGGTGGGAGGTTTCGATCGAATTACGTGGTGTGATGGGAGGGCGATGGCTTGCGCTGTACGTTTGTTTTGGTTGCCCTGCGCTCAGGTTGCCTACACCCTCCTGAGACAGTTCCGGCATTACGAAGCCCTGTGACGAAATGAATGCTGATGAGGATAGCGAGAAAGACGACGCTGATACCGAGTGCGATTGTTCGCAGGTTTGACAAAGAGGAATGGAGAAAGGTGAATCACAATCACGAGGATGCCGCTGAGACCCTTTTGAACTTCCTTACATCGAACAACGTAACCATCGTCCAGTTGTGACCTGTAAGGGTCCCAAAGCGGAGTCGCTGGTCGTCTGACTGGCCATCCACAGCGATGTATTGCTCGAGACCTGACATCTCGGCGGATGATTTGTTGAGAAAGTCTGAATCACATATCTAGGGTCGATGATGATGGTACAATTAAGCTTGCCTCAACCGTAAGTGCCATTCATAGTAGACCGAGGCGTCGATTGTCTCTAGCAAAGTCTGTCGGTTAGTAGAAGAGGCTGGAGATGTGACGAGCTCGAAGACACGGTCAGTGAGATTTGAATCGGTCCACTGCTGCACCGAAATGATGAATGAATTGCTGGAGCGTGATGTGCGAAGGCGTGGGATGGAGATGAGATGGGAAAGCAGATGGCGAGGGGTGAATGCAGGGTGGCAGGGGTGTGCTGCATGACGCCACAGCCGAGGAGCCAAAATTACTCGGGCTGGCTTATCGATTAACAAAATTATCGCCGTCCCACTCTCCACCACCCACCAGACAGTGCAGCGCCGAGTTTCTGACACCGCATAGTCAAGGTGGCGTCGATTCCTTTCCGATTCAAATCAGGTGGCAGCGGCAACAACATGGCGCCCATGGCTGCGACAGCGCACCACCACCGGAGCACGACCAAGAAGGACAAGAAGGGCTTCAAGTCCCGCCATGCCACCAAAGGCGCGCTGAAGGAGCAGAGCAAGGGTCAGTCGCTCCTTCCCCGCCACCGCGCCCAACGCTGCTGACTGTTTCTTCTAGGCAAGGTCAACTCCCTCTCGTTCGAATTCGGCAGCCGCAAGACCCCCCACCAGCAAGTCATGAGCAAGTTCGACCGCCGCAACCGCGCCAAGCAGATGCGCATCAACAAGGACCACGAGCACGCAAAGTCGTCCAACGTATTCGCCGGGAAAGATGGCGCGCCGAGGATCACCGCCCTCGTCCCGCTATGTTCGGACATTTCCACGTCAGAAGCTGTCCGCAGCCTGAACGCCAGCCTGGACATTGAAGAGGAGGTTCCGGAGGCGGGATGGACACGCACAAACGTCGACCGTTTCAAGCAAAAGGTGCAATATCTGATCGTAAAGAGAGATCTGCTGGCGGCTCTCGACGCCTGCCGTGTCGCCGATTTTGTCGTCTTCATTCTGTCGGCGCACGAAGAGGTCGACGCAGAGGGCGAGCTGATCATGAAGTCGGTCGAAAGCCAGGGTATCTCAAACACCTTTACCGTGGTGCAAGGATTGGACAAGATCGAGCCCGCCAAGGCCAGGCCTTCAGTCGTTTCGTCGCTCAAGTCCTACATCACCCACTGGCTACCCGCGACCGAGCGCGTCTACTCTCTCGACAACCGCCAAGAAGCCGCAAACCTCGTCCGATCGCTATGCACAACTACCACAAAGGGTGTCAGGTGGAGGGACCAGAGGAGCTACATGTTCATTGAGGATATCGCATGGCCTGGAGGCAAGTCGGCCGTCAACGCGGACGGCACGGGTGATGTTGTCATTACCGGTGTCGTGCGCGGGCTCGGGTTAAAGGCCGACAGGCTAGTACAAGTGGGAGATTGGGGTGACTTCCAGGTCGACAAGATCGTAGCCGCCCCACTAGAGACGAGGAAGAAGCACAAGGAGGAAGAGATGGCTGTTGACACGGAAGGCGATGGCATTTTGGAGCGCCCCACAGAAGACCAGGACGACCTAGCAGATCTCGCACCAGAGGAAACAATCATGGACGACGTGACCAACTACGCCACATCTATTGCGCCCTCTGAGCGCAAGGGTGTCTTGCTAGACGACCACCACTATTTCTCAGACGAGGAGGAAGAGGTCGCGCCCGCCAAAAAGAGGCGGTTACCAAAGGGCACAAGTGAATACCAGTCAGCATGGTATCTCGACGACATGTCCGACTCGGGCTCGGATCTGGAAGACTTCGACATGGAAGTTGACGAAGACGCCCAGAGCCAGCCTGCTCACCCTGCAGATGGTGTAGAGGGCATGGACATCGATGGCAAAGCTATGACCGAGGGCGCTCCTTCAGAATACCCACAATCGGAGATGTTCCTAGATCCATCACCAGAGGACGAGGCTGCACAGATCGAGGAGTACCGGAAGTCTAGGAAGACAGAAGAGGACGAAGATCTCGAGTTCCCTGACGAGATCGAACTACATCCCAACGTAAACGCGCGAGAGCGTCTCATTCGCTACCGAGGATTGAAGAGTCTGAGAAACAGCACATGGGAGACAGAAGAGGATCGACCATATGAGCCGGAAGAGTGGCAGCGGTTGCTCGACATTTCTGACTACAAGCGCACAGCCACCAAGTTCATGCGCGAAGCCTGGGCTGGTGGTGTCAAGCCTGGAACTCGGGTCAGCGTTCACATTCGCGGTGTCCCGCTACAATTCCAGGAGATGCAGTCACGGCCAATGGCCATGTTCTCACTCCTAAGACACGAGCACAAGCGCACAGCCGCCAACTACAGCATACTGCTCAGCTCTGAGCATGATGGCCCGATCAAGTCGAAGACTGAGATGATCGTGCAGTGCGGACCAAGGAGGATAGTCATCAACCCTGTAAGTCACCTTAAGCCTCTATTTCATCCCTCAATACTAACAGCATCCAGCTCTTCTCCCACGCCGGCAACACACCGAACAATGTGCACAAGTTCTCTCGCTTCCTCCACCCCGGCCAATCGGCCATTGCATCTTTCATCGGCCCGCTAACCTGGGGCAATGTCCCTCTCCTCTACTTCACTCGCACAACCCCATCTCCCGACCACCCCTCCTCCCTTCGCCTAATCGCGACCGGAACATCTCTCCCACCCTCCACCAACCGCATCGTCGCCAAGCGCATCATCCTAACAGGCCACCCGTACAAGATCAACAAGCGCGTCGTCACAGTGCGATACATGTTCTTCAACGACGGCGACGTCAAGTGGTTCAAGAGCTTACCGTTGTGGACGAAGCGCGGACGGAGCGGTTTCATCAAGGAGAGTCTGGGTACGCACGGATACTTCAAGGCTACTTTCGATGGCAAGATCAGCCCTATGGATGCTGTTGCTGTTAGTTTGTACAAGAGGGTTTACCCGAGAGGCGCGAGAGCTTGGAGGGGTGAGCTGGAGCAAGCAGCTGAGATGGAACAAGCAGCTTAGAGGGTTACGACGCGTCAATGACTTTTATGATATCATGGGGTTTTAGATAGGCTAAAATGGGTATGGAGTTTGTTGTTCGTCTTCCATAAGTTACCTCAATCAATTGTCTACGAACCACATCCGTGAAGTGAACGCCCTAAAATGCTCGTACAGAAGGATGCTTTTCACCGCCAACGCCAATACGAAGTCGTACATTGCATGAGACCAAGTGCCACCAGACTCACTTCCTCGCAAACCTCTCCAGCGCGGGTCCATAATCCTTCTTCAACCTCTCCTTCCTCTCAATCTGCCTCTTCTGCATATTCTTCAACGCCTCCCTCGCGCGCTCCTTCTCCTCATCAACCACATTCTTCGTCCCACTCTTCCTCAAATACCTCCTCAGCGCCGAATTCCTGCCCTTCCCCCTCTTCTTCAACATATCCACCTTATCCGGCTCCTTCTCGCCCCTCGCAGCGCGGTATTCGCGTTGCCGCTCTTCATTAGACGCGAGATCGAGGTTACCAACGAAATTGGGGTCGAGCGCAATCATCTCGGGCTGGATCTTCTCAAGCAGGGCGTGCACTTCTGTTTCGCGGCGCTGCTTGGATGTTTCGTAGGGGTTGGTGCCGGGCTCGAGGGTGTCCGGGTTGGCTTCTCCGGCGCCGGGCACGATGATGGAGGAGAAGCCTTTGTCGTGCGATATGCCGAGGACGTCTTCGAAGGGGCAGAAGCGCACGCGGCTGACGTTTAGGCCTTCGCCGCCCCAGCCCATGTATGGCATGATGGGCGGTGCGGCGTCTTCGGGGTTGCGGCGGAAGATGTCGTCTTTGTAGATAGAGGTCTGTGTGCCGTAGCCGACGGCTGTGAGGTTGCGGTCGGAGATGGAGAGGGTGGTGCCTGGGACGCGCAGGTGGGTTTGGTACATCTCTTTGAACATGCGGACGTCCCAGACGGACATGCGGCGGTCTTGCGATGTGCTGACCATGTATGTTCCTGATCTGTCGACTGCGATGCTTCGGACGGGGCCGCGGTGTGGGAGGAGTTTGACGAGGGGCGTGGCGCTGTTGGGCGACCAGAGGGTTACGAGACCTTTTTGGTGGCCGACGTGCAGGATGGCGTTGTGGGGGTTTTGTGCGAAAGCTGTGGCGGGGCCGAGCTTTGTGTATAGTTGTGGTAGAGATTGTCCTGTCGAAACATCGGTGTATCGTATTATACCCGCGGTCGATACCGAGGCGAGGAGGAAGTGGTAGGGGAGGTATTCGAGGTGTGTGGCTTCAGAGTGGTTCTTGAGCTTGTGCATCTCCACGCCGTCGCCCGAGTAGATGTAGACACAGTTCTTCTGCGCCACCGCAAAGTTCTTCTGGTTGCTCGTATGCAGCCATCTCGCGTCTCGCACCGTCTCGTTGAGTTGGAGTTCGCAGCCGACCTTTCCGTCTCGCCAGTCAAAGGTCGCGACATGTCCTTTCCTGCCTGCGATTAACAAGTCCCGGCCGTTACGACTGTACTCGCATACGTCGTAAGGACCCAGACCGTCTAACTTCAACTCGAAGCCCTTCTTTGCTGTCTCGAGACCAACTTCCCGCTTGATATCGTCTTGTCGCACCTTGTACGTCCTTTCCAGCTCATTCTCGGTTTCCAGCAGTCCTGGGTTGTTCTCGAGCAGAACTTCGACATTCTTCGCTTCTATCGCCGCCTGCTTGTTCTTCGCCTCAAGCGATGTCATGTTTCTCCGCAGCTTCTTGTCCTTGACTGTTTTCGGCCGTATACGGTCGCCGCGCCCATATTGCTGTGTGGCCGATTCGGTGAATTCTGCGATCGCGCGGGTGTCTTCGTCGTCTATGGGCGCTGCGTTTTGCGACTTGCGCCGCGGTTGCGCTGTGCTGGGCTTGGAGCCGCGTTCGGTGGCCATGATGCAGTTGCGGTGGCTGGCAGCCTTTTTGCGACAGGGGAACTTTGGTTCGCTTCGTAAGCTAGTTTTGTGACTGGGGAGTTGCCTGCACGTATTCGCTGAGAGTGTCTGCGCAAGAGGTTCCTGGTCGCGAATCCCAATCCCAGAATTATTTCTGCCGGCGTTCACCGCTTCGAAATCTTGGCGACACTAGTGATGCACATGCCTCTCTGACTATCGCTAAACTTCTGTTTTGCTGACTTCACGTGAAACTCAACCCCATCTCCACTGATATCTGTTGAAGTCCCCAGGCCGGGGCCATCTAGATTATCTTGATTAGGCTTTGCAAGCGGTAGCATCTCAGCGTGGCATTCACCTTGTGGCCTACGCACGAGAGTTATGTTTGTGTGCCGACATCCTTCCTTTCGGGGTTTCCAAGGCTCGCACTGGAGGTAGAGGTGGCGTTGGAACCGAATGTACCCTTTGTCTGTTTATCGGTGCTTGATGTAAGGTCCATCGCCTCGGCATTGCTCGACATTTGAAGCTGAGGTAAGGGTTGAGCGGCTGCTTGAGCTTGAGCGTCAGCTGCTGCTTGAGCTTGTCGAAGCTGGTGCGCAGCAGCGCGGGCACGCATTTTAGCCTTTCTGGCCTCTGATGGCTTCCCAGATTGTCCCTTACGACCCATGGCAGTAGTTAAAGAGAGATTGGAAAAAGATTGAGGAGGCTGGAAACCCTGGAGATGTAGCAGAGATTTAGACAGCTTCAAGGCTGTCTGCTCAGTGTGTATGCTCAGGTATTTGTAAAGGACTCCAGATGATGACTGCTACTCAGCGCCGAGATCGCAGTATCACATGCTACGCATGTGTTGGGCAGCTGCAGCTTCTCTCACTGGCTCCTGCCTTCACCTTGAGTTCGGCCCAAACAAACAACGTGTATCCTTAGGCTTCGCTTAGGCATGCCTCTCTTATTCCCACCGCCATACAGGGTCTCAGGGTCTCTCATCAACCTGATTCCACTCTCTCTCGTTCTCATACTTTGCATACTACTCCACAACACAAGTCGCCAACGATGGGAGGCCGCCGCAATGTGCACGCTTACAACCAGGACGAGATCGACAGGTACGTACAGACAACATTGACCGGAAATGCCAATGACAGCATGACTACTATTGGAACAACCCAGTCATTATTCAATTTGACGCGCTGCTAACTATTCTTCCCAGGCTCCAAGGTATCCCGCTTCCCATGAAGATCAAATGCGGCCGTTGCCACAAGAATCTCCCTCAAGTCAAGTACTCCACCAAGCAGCTGACCGATGCGCGACACCAAATCAAGACCTCAAGCAAGATCACCAAGCCCATCAACTGCCACAGTTGCACAGGGCAGCAGAAGGTCGAAATCGAGTGCACCATGTGTGGCAAGACAAAGGGCTTGGAGGAGTTCGCGAAGTCTCAGCGCGCCAAGCCCGACACTGCCAAATGCTTCAAGTGTGTTGAGGCTCAGCTCGCTGATGAGGCCGTCGATGAAGACCGCTATATCGAACCAGACAGAGCCTTTGTTCCACCTGACCACTCCCAGGGTCAGTTTCCCGAGTACTGGTCCGCAGCTACGAGTGAAACATCTTCTACATATGTGAGTTTCCCAAAAGGGCTGTCTGTGGCCGTCATACTGACCTCTTTAGGGAGACGATGAGTGGAAGACTGTTAACGGCATCAACCGACGAACCGAGCGCAAGGATATTGAAGACGGAGGTATTGCGCTATCGGCGGGCTTCCAGAAGGCTATGTCCATGAACGGTGAAGCAGACGAGAGCCTCATCGGCACCGAATACTCCTTCCCGGCTGGCCATGGAAACGCCAACACGGACAGTTGGAGCGAGGTCCGCACCAAGTCCTGGCACACCCAGTCCAATGCGGCTCCTAGTGCGAGCTCAGGCTTCAACCCCAACGCCTATCGTCGCTCGACCTCCTCCGTTACCGGCTCGTCCCACACCTTCACCTCCAGCGTGGCTGAGCGATCTGACACTTCGGAGATTCGCCCCAATGGATGGGCCAAGATTCGTGCTGCTCCTCGAGGTCCCCCTATGGTATGTTCAACGATGGACCCTTCAGATCTTGAGCCTTGGCAAAAACAATACTGACTGTGTCATAGATGCCTATGGGTGATACTGTCCGACAGACAGGGTCCACTGTCGATGCTTGGGACTCGGATGAGGAGGAAGACGAAGAAGACGAGGACGATGATGACAGTGACGACGACACAGTCATCTAGTCACTTGACCCCGGTATATGGAGATCACAGAGATTGATAAGTTTGCACAACGGACAAGTTTCTGTTCTGCGAGGGGATGCGGGAGTTTGGATTGGACTGGCGTTTGATGTGTACATGGATTATTTGATTTAGCTGTGGTCATGACAGCGAATGGCCTACCACGTGCTGTCTCCACCGGGGGGACGTACATAGGATTACAAAAGTTGAATTCTTGAATCGATAGCGTTATGGATAGCCCTGTCGCGCGACTATGGTGACAGTGAAAGGAACGCCGTCAGGGGTAGACTAATCCGGAAAAAGCGACTAATTGCCACCACGTGATTGCGCGCCGTACCCCAACGCGCCTTCCTGCGCATGTTCCACCCCACTCACACCCAGCGCAGTCGCACCACCACGACTGTACCGCAGCACTTTTTTTCAAATCACTTTCGTTTGAATCGCTCTTACAGTAGGAAATAGATACAGGTATCATGTAAGTCAAGTTTCGCGATTCGACTTGATGAGCGCGCAAGACTAATGAGTGGCGACAGGAGCGGACGACGACCTAGAGGCGCAGGCATTCGGGGGCCGCATTCTGCCTTGACAGATTTTCTGGCCGTGAGTGACATCTGTTCTAGGGAAAAGCATGCCCAACATTCGAGACTTGCGACATGAAGATCAGAAGCGGCTGGGCTCTTGCCTGATAGCGGCTGCGCAAACCTCAGTAGACGAGGCTTGAGGGAAACACTCGCTAATATCTCATTTTCAGGCGAACAACATCTCTGCAGCAGAGATCCGCGATTCGTACGAACAGCGCCGTCAACAAGCCGAGCGAGACGCAGCAGAAGCAGGAGATAATGGCGAGGGACCTTCAAATGCCGGTG